AATAATGATAAAATGAAAAAATAGAAGTAGAAGAATACACAAATTATATACATCCAAAAAGTTCAATATTTAAAAAACAGTAAGCATATAATCATAATGAGGAGGATTTGGATGATAGATTAAATTCTTCTTGTTCATGAATCATGATCTTTGTATTGGATTAGACATAAACTAAATTATTTAACCTTGTTGCATCTAGTTTATTTCTTTTCTTTGTATGTATCCCCTCAAAAGTGCTCCAATTCGTTTCACTATTGGATCATCTTGTAGTAAATCCGTCATTTGCAAATTAGGTACACCATTTCCATAACTATACCACCATGAAACCAAAAAAGAAAAAAACACACAATTAATAAAAAATATAAAAAAAAACCGCCTAGGTGCCGCCTAGCTCTCCGCCTAGGAGTCGCCTAACCTGCCTAGCTTCCCTAGCATGCCTAGCTTCCAGCCGATTTTTCCAAAAGCCTTGCCCAAAATCGGGGCGGGGCTCCACCGCCCAGCGCCTAGGCAGCCGCTTAAGCCGATTTTTAGAACAATGTGTTCAACACACTAATAAAGGGATTTTGCATGAAAGGTAACAACTGGGCATCTATTCAGTTGCTTAGGAAGATGGAGGAAGGAGCTTGTAAGCCTAACATTGTTTCCTATAACACGACCATTGACAATCTTTGTAAAGATACTATGGTTGTTGATGCGATGAATCTTTTCTCCCAAATGATAGGTAAGGGAATTGCCCCCGACTTCGTTACCTATAACTCTTTGATTCATGGAGTTTGCAAATTAGGGGAGTGGAAAGAAGCTACTAGATTGTTGAATGAAATGGTGAGCAAAAATATCTTTCCAAATTTGCACACCTTCAACGTGTTGGTAGATACACTTTGTAAGGAGGGGCTCGTTGGGGAAGTAAAAATTGTGGTTGAAATGATGATCCAAAGAGATATTGAACCTAACACAGTTACGTACAATTCGCTTATGAATGGTTACTGCTTGCGAGGAGAAATGAAAGAGGAAAAAGAAGTCTTTGATCTAACGCTTAGCAAGGGCTCCACGGTTAATGCTCGTAGTTACAACATATTGATAAATGGCTTTTCCAACGTATTGTCAAATCCGGTTGGGAAGCAGGGCGTTCGTAACTTGCAGCTACACAGGCTTTGCCTAGTGGAAGGTTTTGTAATAGTTACTCCCTTTATTTAGATGAAAATTTTCAACCGTGGGATGTTGTTTCGGTTCTGTTTTTCTTTTTTCTTGATGATTTCGAAATCCAGAGCACAGTTTACAACATGGTGTACACAAACCGCTCCAAATCTGAATTCTGTGCCAGAAATTATTGATCCTTTGTGGGCTTTATATTGACTGCATATCGAGCGTATATATTGACTTAGTGCCATGCATCTCAATAGAAAATTGAAAGATTTATCATGAACCGTTAAGGAGAGACTCGAGTGTAGAAGTAAACGCTCTTAATAATCATTTAAGCTACAAGACTTTGCTTTATTAACAAGAGAAACGATAAATGCTCACCCTTTTTGTAGGTGTAAAAATCATCTCCTTTGTTATTTTTGTTGAATGATGCTATATTCTAAACTACTAATTAGAACTCGAGTGCAAGTCAATGACAAAGATATATAATAAAATGAACGTGCAGGAGTGCAACTATAGGTTCACTAGAAAAAGGAAAAAGAACAGGAAAGTCTATGGGTTTTTCTCCTTAGTCTATAGGTTTTTCTCTCACCTTGGGTTTTACCATAACGAAGTTTTGTGAGTTTTACTTTTTATGCATTCTTCCGTTGATTTGAGACTCACATTCGCTCATTGTGCCGACGACTTCATCAACTATACTTACTTCATCGCTGAAGACCCGATGCGCCATTTACTTAAGTATTTACACACTCAAGGGAGAGTGTTGCAATCTTATTTAGGGGTGGGTTCGGTACGGTTACCGTACCAAAACCCTTGTACCAATTACCGTACCAAACTTTCGGTTTAGTAAAATCTATTACCATTACCGTACCAAACTTTCGGTATACCGAAGTTCGGTATTGCCAAAAGTTTGGTTGGCATGGTATGGCAATGGTAATTGCCATTTTGTTTTGGGACAAAATCTGTTTTTGTTTTTTTAACCCAATTCAAGGGCAAAACTTTTTTTTTTGTACCTTTATCTCATACATTGTAGATTAAATTAATCTATTATTCATTATTCACAATTCACACACATAATAATTCAAATGATGCATCAAGATTCAATATGAAAATTAAGCTTACAATCCAAATAGAAGTTACGAACCAAAACAAATAGAAGTTAACAATCCAAATAGAAATTAAAGTTTCAAACCAAATGAAAATTGGAAGTAAACTTCAAAAAGGAGAATTCATTGATCAGTTATTCAAGCTTGAGATGTCGAAACTTTTGGAAGAGGCATTGAACTTGTAGAAGATTGAGTTTGTGTCAAGCATACATTACAAACAAAGAAAACATATTAATTAGTAGCAAGAAAAATTAAAGTTGAAAACCATTTAATAACAAATTTACTAAAAAAATTAAAGCATATCTTTCTTGTTTTTTCTTCTTTCATTTCCTTGTAAAATTGAAGCATATATTTCGTTGGTTCCTTGTAGAAGTTTACTTCATCTGCCCTAAGTCAACCACTAGTACGCACTAGTGCCTCCATTATTTTTAGGAGTCAAGGATACCCTAAAAGGGTCCACAACCTTTCTCCCTAGGCTAAATGCATTTTCACTAGCAACAGTAGAAGTGGGGGTTACAAAAGATATTTTGGCTATTTTGTGAAAGAATTAGGAACTCTTTTGTGTTTGATTTCCACAATTTTAAGATATCAAAGTCACCAACAACAATACTAATATAAGTAGGGTTTTATTTTCAAATTATTGGAATATTATAAATATGTGTTATATAATTATCTATTATATAATTTATAAATTATAAATTATATTGTATTTTTGGTATGGTACGGTAATACCGTGGTAATGGTATCCATTACCAATACCGTACCATGAAATTTCGGTACGGTACAATACCGTACCATTACCGATTGGTACAAAAAATTTGGCACAAAATCGGTATGGCACGGTTGGCAATTCGGTTGGTACGGCAATTTGGCAAAAAAATCCACCCCTAATCTTATTAGATTAGGAATGTGATTGTGTAAATCCTAGTAGATATGGGAATGTATCTTATATTCTTATTAGGAGTAGATTACCTATTAAATATTGTAATCCTAAAAGGGTAACGAATTAACCTTCCCTACTACTATAAATAAAGGCACAATGGGGTGGAATAGAACACACCTCACAATTACACATCTCTCTATTCTCTCTAATATTGCCACATCTTTCTTTCTCTCTATGACCTCCATAATCGTTTAGTAAATTATGCCTACAATATTTAACCTATTTTTTTGGGTAATTTTTTTAAAAATAAAATTTATGTTGATTATTCTAATTTAATTTCCAATAAGTAATTAAAAATCATACAAACACATGTATTTTTGAAGTTTTAATTGAAATTTGATTTTTATAATTTTCATAAATTATTTTATCATTAGATTTGATCTCATTTGATCACAGACGTTAAATTATAAGTAAAAAACAACAAAAAAAAATGTTTGAAATATGACAGTTTGGTGGGTCCAAAATAATTTTAAGCCAGACTTAAAATCTAGTCCAAAAATATATTTTATTTTAACCCAATGGTTGAAAATGGTTTGGAGGTTTTAAAGCTTATATTTTAAGTTTTATCCCATAGATTCTCCAACTCTTGGGGATAAGCTTAAAAATTTAAGCCAAAATTTTTTAAGACATAATCCATAAATTGCTTTTCTTCTTCAACCGTTATGACTTAAAATTTTAGCATAAGATTATTAAATAATAATTTTTTCCTAATTTTGTTTTTTTCTGTAACATTTTTGAAAATAAAATTTATGTAGGTTATCTTAATTTATTTTTATGAGCATTTTAATCTAAAAATATTTAAATTCAGATATGTAATTAAAAATCATACAAATACATAGGTATTTATAAAGTTTTAAATTAAATTTGATTTAAATAAGTTTCTTAAATTATTTTAGATGTTAGATTTAATTTTGGACCGTCAAATCTTTTTTTTTTTTTTACCCTTAGGTTTGATCTTCATTTGATAATAGTTGTTAGATTATAAGTAAAATACAAAAATAAGGTTGAAATATGACAGCTTGGTGGGTTTCAGAATAATTTAAGCTATACTTAAATTCTCTAGTCCAAAGATATATTTTCTCCACAGGATTATTTTTGTCCAATGGTTAGAGATGATTTGAAGGGTTTTAAACTTTATATTTTAAGTTTGATCCGATGAGTTTGAGATGGTCTAAAGGTGATGCGGGCGACAACTGCTGCCCTTCCTTCTTCTTTGAAGGTTGGTTATGGCGGTAGCAGAAGAGGTATAATACCGCGTTGCCTTGTCTTCGTAACCCTACTGCTTTTGTTTTCCTCAACGATTCCTTAGCTACCCTTCACTCTCCAGCATTTCATCCAACCAAATCTACAAATATCCAACTGCATCAGCTTGTGAAAGTCAGTAATCAGGACTTCAATATGTTCGACGAAGGCGTCCCCTGCCTTCAGTTGTCCGTTTCAATCAAGTCATTTGTCTAGTTGCCAAGTTGCAACATGACTCGGAAGTCATCTCGTTGTATAACCAAATGGGGTCGTTGGAACCAGATGGGGTTTGGTTTGTCTGTCTTGGGAAACTTCTTCAAACTTGGTTTTGAACCGGATGTGGCCACCTTCAACACCCTGTCCCACGGCTTTCTTCTTCAAAATAAAGAGTGGCTGAGGCAGCAGGACTTTTCAATAAAGGGAAAATTAACGAAAAGTTCAGGAAAAACTGTTTAATGAAAAATGAAAACTAAAGGTGTAGTGAATATTACCAAAAAAAGGTAAAACTATAGTTTTTCGTTAAAGGTGAACAATACCGGAAATGTTTTGTTAAAACTCCCTTCAATAAAATGATAGAGAGTGGTAACTGTAAGCCCAATGTGATCACGTTCAACACACTAATAAAGGGATTTTGCATGAAAGGTAACAACCTTGCATCTATTCAGTTGCTTAGGAAGATGGAGGAAGAAGCTTGTAAGCCTAACATTGTTTCCTATAACACGACCATCGACAGTCTTTGTAAAGATACCATGGTTGTTGATGCGATGAATCTTTTCTCCCAAATGATAGGTAAGGGAATTGCCCCCAACGTCGTTACCTATAACTCTTTGATTCATGGAGTTTCCAAATTAGGGGAGTGGAAAGAAGCTACTAGATTGTTGAATGAAATGGTGAGCAAAAATATCTTTCCAAATTTGCACACCTTCAACGTGTTAGTAGATACACTTTGTAAGGAGGGGCTCGTTGGGGAAGTAAAAATTGTGGTTGAAATGATGATCCAAAGAGATATTGAACGTAACACAGTTACGTACAATTCGCTTATGGATGGTTATTGCTTGCGACGAGAAATGAAAGAGGAAAAAGAAGTCTTTGATCTAACGCTTGGCAAGGGCTCCACGGTTAATGCTCGTAGTTACAACATATTGATAAATGGCTTTTCCAACGTTTTGTCAAATCCGGTTGGGAAGCAGGGCGTTCGTAACTTGCAGCTACACAGGCTTTGCCTAGTGGAAGGTTTTGTAATAGTTACTCCCTTTATTTAGATGAAAATTTTCAACCGTGGGATGTTGTTTCGGTTCTGTTTTTCTTTTTTCTTGATGATTTCGAAATCCAGTGCACAGTTTACAACATGGTGTACACAAACCGCTCAAAATCTGAATTTTGTGCCAGAAATTATTGATCCTTTGTGGGCTTTATATTGACTGCATATCGAGCGTATATATTGACTTAGTGGCATGCATCTCAATAGAAAATTGAAAGATTTATCATGAACCGCTAAGGAGAGACTCGAGTGTAGAAGTAAACGCTCTTAATAATCATTTAGCTACAAGACTTTGCTTTATTAACAAGAGAAACGATAAACGCTCACCCTTTTTGTAGGTGTAAAAATCATCTCCTTTGTTATTTTTGTCCAACGATGCTATATTCTAAACTACTAATTAGAACTCGAGTGCAAGTCAATGACAAAGATATATAATAAAATGAACGTGCAGGAGTGCAACCATAGGTTCACTAGAAAAAGGAAAAAGAATAGGAAAGTCCATTATTTCTTAATGTTTGGATATACAGAAAATGTAAGAAACTAAAGGGGAAGAAATTATAGTTTTGATGATTTTTGTTTCTACATTCTCTGTATAAAACACATCCATTTACCAGGGAGTCTGAGAGAACCACCTGAAACTGTTTTCTCTTGTTCTATTTTCTATTTAAGAACCAAACGACGACAAACAAAACATCAAGCAAAATATCACTCAAAATAAACTATAATCCGTAGAAGGAAGAGTATGAAAATGAAATTTTTACCGCCTTTGATATGGTGAAAGTCTGAAGTGGGATACGCATACGCCCTTCCTCTCAGTCACCGATCATATGAACCACACGTGACGGATAGCTGGGAGAAGGAGGGTCTACGGAGCCATCCCCTGCCTGAACCTTTGCCTCATACAGTGTGGAATGGAACATGAATACGAAATAACAAGTTACACAAGATCCTTATGAATCTAAAACACACTCAAACCGCCACCCCCTTCTGTACAAAAGGAGAACTCAGAATGCTTCATCAAGTTCAATCAGCAAACTACCACAAAAGAAGTGTTTATCGAAGGAGATGCCAAACTCGTAGCATGTACTATCTTGGAACAGTTACCTACCCTCGGACTTCACCAGCTGCGAGAACACTTTACTCATAGAAACACCTGAAAGATCATCCACGCTTGAGACTTCAAATTGTGCAGCAGAGTCATTTGTATCAACGTTATTGAAGTTGTTAACTTGTGGGGATAGCTCGCCAATCATATTGGTACTATTTTCTTCTGCGTCGCCTGGAATCTCTGCCTCTTGAAGTTGAAGGGCATACTCTAGGTTCCACAACACATCTCCCATGGAGGGCCTGTCAACACCATAGTCGGCCAAGCACTTCTCGGCGGTTTCTCCAAATTTCCTCAGAGAATCTGGTCTGATTTTGCCTGCAAGAGTTGAGTCTATGATTTGCTCCAACTGCCCCTTCTTCTGCCATTTCATTGCCCATTCAGCCAAGTTCACCATTTCCCTCGGAAGAGACGGGTCTATAACAGGTCTTGCACAAAGAACCTCAAACAAAACCACCCCAAATGAATACACATCTGATTTCTCAGTCAGTTGTTGCCTTCTAAAATATTCAGGATCAAGGTATCCAAAACTCCCTTTCACCGCCGTACTGACATGGGTTTGATCAATTTCAGGCCCCGTCTTAGAAAGCCCAAAATCAGCAACCTTGGCCATGAGGTTCTCATCAAGCAAGATGTTTGCGGATTTCACATCACGATGAATAACTGCTTTTGCATCACCAGTGTGAAGGTAGTGAAGTCCTCTAGCTGATCCAATGCATACTTCAAGCCTTTGTTTCCAACTTAAGCTGGGGTTACCTGAGCCATAGAGATGACCCTTCAGGGTTCCGTTCTCCATATATTCATATATCAGAATCATCTCATTCTTGTCATCACAATACCCAATCAATGAGACAAGGTGGCGGTGACGGAATTGAGATAGCATCTCAATTTCAGTCCTGAACTCTGCAAGCCCCTGTTGAGACCGTGGATTTCCCCTCTTGACAGCCACCTTGGTTCCATCGTTCAAGGTTCCTTTGTATACCTTCCCAAAACCACCGATTCCAATAACCCAGCTCTCATCAAAGTTACTCGTAGCCTCCTGTACTACCCCAAAAGGAAAACGATAGCTGTAGTTAGAAGCAGCACTAGCAGTTGTTCCATATGAGTATTTACTTCCCATGGTATGAGAATTGGTTCCGTTCATGGAAAAGGGAATCCAAGTCTTAGAATGGCCTTGGTCTGCCAGCCTCTTCCTTCTTCTGCACAGAACAAAGAGAACCCCAGCCAATGCCACTGCAATAAATGACCCAACGCTGGCACCCACAATTACTCCAACATTACTTTTCGAACCTGGATTCAAAGAAGAAACTGAGTTGGCTCCACTGAGGCTGCCTGCTGAATTGTTCATTTTCATAATCTCGAGCCCATTTAGAATGGCATTGGGATAAGCATTGTTTACAGCAGAGGGGCCAATACTAATACGCAGCTTATTTCTGACAGCGGACGCTGTAACAATGTCCAGATAATATGGCACAGCCAACTTATTAATTGCTGAAGAACTCAGATCGAGATCTGGAGCAACATTTGAAGAGTCAACGTAAACATTGAAGTACAGCTGATTGAGAGCTTTACTCACTACATCGCAAAAGTGAAATCGAACAAGGTATTGGAATCCTGGATCCACCGTGAACTCCCAGGTTACATTGAAATTGCTGTTGGGATTATTTGCTGAGTTCATCTCAGTGAGGGTTCCATAGACGGTTTGTGGAGCAATGTCTGCAGTTGCCAAACCTGCATCATACGTAACAGCTGCAATGTTGGAGAAATCTTTGGCAAGGTTCTCATTTACTAGAAAACTTTGGTCAGGAACCCAAGTTCGCCACAGGGTATCATTCTCGAAAGACACGGTTGGTCCACCCATATTGACCCTCCAAGCTGTCTCCAGAGCCTGATTCGTCAAACCCTGGAATTTATCAGACGCAGTGCCGGCATCATCAGTTATGAGTTGGTCGGGTACTGAAACAACTTCTATCGCATTTAGGAATGCGAACGAATTGCTGGAAGGGGTGAAGGTGACAACAAGGCTATCTGAAGTGACATTCACCGAAAATTCCTTGAGAGAAGTGTTTTGAACACTGAAATCGGTAAGCAGCGCAAAGTTTTGGGCGGAAACAGAGAAATTGGCCTTGCTCAAATCATAACTACCAAATGTAAACGGATAGAAGTAAAGGCGGATCCAATGCCTACCGCTTTGGCTTATGGAAAAGGTGTACTTGGAGGATTCTGGGAAGATTCGCGCTGTCTGATACAGCGGCGAATCATCAAAGGAAGTGATTGATTTCAAAGAAACATTGGCAACAACATCTTTTGGGGATGAAAGATATTTGGAAGCCAAGTTATCCGCTAGAAAAACACGGTTACCCACTGTAGTATTGGTAAGCGATCCACAGTCTATAAGGTAATTGTCAGCAGGAACAAATCCACTACACAACAATCCCAAACACAATACAGAAAAAACCCAGATGAACAGATCAAATTTAAAACAACCCATCATCATAAAGTTGGGAAATTTAATGAGGAACCCAAGAAATTAGGGTTTCTTGAGCTCAATTGGGACCAAAAAGATCAGGGTTTTCAGACAGGAGTTCAACTAATTGATCAGAAACAGAAGCTTAATGGAAACCCAGAAACAGAATTGATTGGAGAAGTGAAAAGATGTCACCTTTTAGATCAAATGAGCTCCAAAACAAATCTGATACACTCTTGAGAGTTCAACAGCCGTTTTTTTTTTCTCTCTCTCTCTCTCTCTTTTTCTCTCTCTAAAATTATGGAAAATTTCAAATAATAGGAAGAACAGTTAAAGATTGTTTACAAATCTGGCAAAACACAAGCTGTTTTGATGCAGATGACAACCTTAGTTGGATACTGACAGGTCCAAAGATTCGTTTTGACATTAAACTATCCACGAAAACTACAAAATGTGTAACGGAGTCAAATCAAATGTGTACAGAAGTGAGTGAAAAGTTAGAATAATTAATTTATTAATTAATTAATTGAAAAACCGGCCAATGTTTTAGAAGTGCTGACCTTGTAATAGGTAGAAACTAGACTGACGAAAATCTATCTTGGAGAGAAGGTAAATTACAAACAGAAAGGTTAGTCGCCGATGTAACTCGACAGAAAAATGAGAAGTCATTTGGCACACTATTTATTTTTGTTGAAAACGGGGCATAAGCCCGAAAGGAAATGAAGTATTACATAAAAACATTACGAGATCTTAATTATATCTTCAATTAACAACTGATGACAAGAAGGAGGAATTTGCCCAAAAAAGATTGGACTCTAACTGTATGATAAACTCAAACCAATCAAATCATCAGCAACAAATTTTTTTTCAAGATAAATATGACAAATTTCACAAGACCAGTTTTGATGCATAAGGACACGACTTCAATGCTAAACTTTCCAGAAGGTGATTATCCACTTTTGCATGTAAAATCAACTATAATGCAAGTGCAGAATCCGATAAATGGACACGACATGATTAATATGTTACTTTATACTTACACCATTTATATATTTGATGTATTCGTTTCGAGTGATCTCTTATAAGTACAACCTTCGAATGATCTTTTCTAAGTATAACCTTTAAATAAACATTATAAAAAAAACAAATTCTCAAAAAAGGAGGATGATTGAAAATGCTCTTAAAATTAGAGAGATTTTTCTGTGTACTAGAAACACATTTTGATATACTAGTGTAAGAATACAATTTATTGAAAATTTTAATAAAAAAAATTAACTAATTGTATTATGACACTTAACATACGGTATACTATATCATTGTTTTGGGACACAAAAAAACTCAACTTGAGTGGAGGATTAGGTAAAGCTCCGACCAAAAAACAAAGTTGTAGAGAAGCTACGTGTAAGCACGCATAGAAATTATGGATCAC